TTGTAAGCGTCTAATAGGTTTTAAGCTATCACAGCGACAAAAATATTGAGAGTTAAATAATCATAAAACCTTCAGCAACTACTTAAATCAAAGCTAGATGATAAATCGTCTTTGATGAAATTTAGTAATGTCATCATGTCTTCAAAAAAGAGAAAAAGACAACAACAAAAAATTGAAAGAAAAGCTTTGTATATCCAAGTTAAAACATTGTATAGAGAATAAAAGGCAACATTTACCTCTTTCACTGTCGTGGACAGCCTCAAGATACTTGCCCTGATCAATTAAGAACAACAGGAATAGTTGTATATGACTTCATACAGGATAAGTGTAAAGCACAAATGTAAAAAAGTTCCGCTGCATCTTTACAGGACCTACGGAATTAAACTCACCATCTTAAAGTAACACACAGCTCTTTTGCGATATAGCTTTTCGGAAATGATGGCTATATCCATAAAGGGAGGAGCTTGCTGGTTTAACGCTAAGGTGTAACACATCAATGCATCTTCATATAGCTTCGCTTTGACGTTTTCATCTCCCTGCTTCATGAGCTCTGTAACAACTGTGTACTGTGGATGTAATGAAAAAAGTTTTTAAAAAATGAGTGAAGTAATAAGTAGATAGACTGATCAATCAGTCAATCAATCAATGATTCAATCAATAAAAAATCCCTACCTCATACATGGATTTTAGGCATTTACATAAGACATTTTCACCTTAAGGACAGGCTATGAGCTATGATAAGTTTTGTTTTGTTTTTTAATTTTGATATGATAATTATCATTATTGTGATGACGGTCACAAAACCAAAGATCCTTAGATGGGACGGCCTTCTTACCTTGTCATACTTGTGTTCGATGTTATTTGATACTTTTCTGAGTTTTACATTTAAATTTGAATACAATGTGAGTTACTGAGTGTGCCTTACCATAAAAGGAGCCGGTATAAATTCCTCCACAAAAGGACCCGGCATAAAGTCCTCTTCATCCTCACTACGAGTAATAAAATGAAGGATGAGAAACATGAATTCCTTTGAGTTAATTGAAATAACGTTTGTATGTTTATTAGTACGTTTGTCTGTTTGTTTTTTTATTATTGTTATGCTGCTAACCATTCTTCCTCATCCAAGGCAGAGAAATGACCGCCTTCAGCCATCTTCTGGATAAATTTCAAATAGGAACTAAGAAAAAAAAAGAGAGAACAATGAGAAGGACTTCCTAATTTGTCGAGTTTGTTTTTATAAGAAGCTTTAACGGCCTAGGTTTATGAGGAGTCAATATCTCCGAAAATGTTGAAGTAAGTTCTGACTCTTGACTTCTTGGCACTTACAGCTAGCTCTTTGCCAAGAGGCAGAAAGGGATTGTGTAAAACTCTACAAAACACGATAACTTTTACCTAAGAACAATGAAAAAGATGAAGTTTTAGTTTCACCCTAAAAAAAAAAATTTGTCAATTTTGCTAGAATTAACAAAATAAAGCATTTCTGTATCCTTTAGCTGAATACACGATATTCTAAATTTCCTACGCTAAGTTCGAATGTAAGTTCGTAGCTTGGTCAAGCTGGGCATTTTATGTCTAGGATTAGCTCAATGATACGTCAGATCCCGTTAGTCAAAGCGAACTGCACTCTTTTGAGATAAACAATTGGTTTACTTATCCTAATTGACTTCGATCTCTTATTTTACCGGATTACTAAATTCGTGAAAGGCTACAGAACCACCAGGCAGAATCATAACTTAAAGGTTAGGAAGTAATGTTGCCAATCAAACTTTTTCTGAAAATCTTATAAACTGCGTCCCCTCCTTTAATGCAGGTACATTAAGTCAAATTCAATGTTGCGATGATTTCAGGTTCCTTGATACATTTATTTAGCTCGTTACCTAAGCCAAAAACGGATGTTACAGTCAAACAATTTCACCCATGTATTACTACTACAGAAGCGATTGCCACCAGGAACTGAAAACGGGATGAGAAAGAACGAGTTACCGCTAATCATCTTGTACTCGTCCTCAGTCCATCCAGCTTTGGAGATATATCAAACATATCATTTTCTAATCACCGAAGAAGGCAATTTTGAAGAGAACTCAGTAATTACCTTGTACTGAATATGGAGGAATCCTAATCATATTAAGTTGTAGAAACGCTCCGATTGGTGAGAGCTTTTGAAACAACAGCAACGATAATCAATGCTTAAGGTACAAGGCCCTGCAAACCGCTTTATCATCAGTTTTTATTCCTGCCAAAACACATTCGAAACTGGAGTAGATCACATATCGATAAAAATGTCTCATGAGTTCACGTCTTTGAGATGATGCTATACATAGCTAGGCGCGAAACAGCAAAAATTGGCCTAACAAGGAACAAAATAATAATTTATAGCAGAACATTACCTAATAATTCAGATTCTATCTTCTCTTTGCCTTTTAGGATGCTGAGCATGCGCAAAAAGTTTCCTTTAAGCAACATTCAAAATAAATTTCAATCAATATGACGTGCTTAGTATTTTTTTTCCTATAATTTCCTTAGACCACTCATACATTACGTTTATCAAATCAGCGTTAATTTCTCATCGTGTGTGATTTTTCCCAAAGATTTTCCTTAAATTAAGCATTCAGTATGAATTCAGTTTGTCACTTCCCGCGACATACATATGAATTAATATTTTAGAGCATGAAATTTTGTGTCGTGTTATCTTGTAGTGATTAAAGAACCGTCGGTGTAAAATTCTACTCTCAAGTATCCAATTATAATCTCAAAAGAGAAGAGTTGCGCGTTCTGGTAAGCTCTGACACTATTTTCACCACGCGTTCGATTCTTACCCGGCTATATTTGCATATCAAAAATAACAAAGGTCCATAAGATAACATGTACTGGCAGTAGAAACAAAACGCTTGGTTTCCGTCACGAGTGAAGCATTAATGTTAGATATTACAGAAATAATAATAAAACATACTCACGAGTATTTCGTATTCAAACAACCTACTTGTCGTGTTCGAGAAGTTATTTGTATCGCAGACTTTGTCATTCAAGCTATATAACTATGCTCGACATTGCGTAATGACATGCAAAGAACCCAAAGAACTCAGTCATAACATTTAGGTTTCGTTTAGGTTGTTCAGACTTGCCTACCTTTTTGTGGACGTCTTTTCTTCTGAGTTCTTCTCAGACAGGCTGGAGTTTAATGAAAAGAGAGCATCAAGCCTTTCTCTGTTCTACAGAACAACAAACAAACCATCGCATCGAAGAGAAATATCAAGCCATGAATATTACTCAGAAAAATATGTATTTCCGGTACCTTTTCTAGGAACTTGCCTCTTGACCCGATTGGTCGGTCGACGTGTTCCGGCATGTTCTGCAGTAAACAGTGCCATATTTGACCGGCACAAGGAAAACACAGGTATCCACTTGTTATGACAACATCGAAAAACGTTTGAAATGGGTAAAGCAATTCATCTATAGCTACCACTTTAATAACTTTTGCCAGAAGGCATCGATATCGTTATTTTCTACTGATGCGTTATGCAAATTTTGTCGTTAGATAATATGAAATTTATGAGCTTATCGAAGCATGACGTTAACCTGTGGCCGGTGAAGAAACTATATTTAACGACTGAGTTAATTTAACGATATTTCATTACGTGAGCAGGCCATTAAACAAAGGCATGACCTGGCTAACTCAGAGTTGGTTGTGAATTTCTCATCCGGATTTATACTTTTTCTTTCCATATGTTTTGTTTTGCTCAATTTTGCCCGATAATTTCCCAGAGCCCCGCAAACTGAATAGCTTAAGTATGCAAAAATTTTCTGTATAGCAGCCGCCGCTTATCGTTTTTCGAATAACTGGTCCCAGTGTGAAAGAAAGAAGAAGTTATCACGGCATTGCTCCGTTTAATAATTCATTTAAAAAGTTAGATTCCATGTTGCCGTGCGTCTGATAAATTAAAAATATGAGTTTAAAATGTGTTAAGAATCAGAAGTAACACACGAGGTACAGTCACGCGTGTCACGATGTTATTACCGCATTTTGACCTTCTCTATGATCTATTACTAACCAGATGTACAGCAACAAGGAATCTATTTGGTTTTAAAAAAACAACGAAGTAGTATAAAATTGCCAATGGTGACAGCATCCATGCATTGGTCTCCCAATAGCTCATATTAAAATAAGAACCAACCAGAACGGGTGTATTATTCAGCTTTAAGTGGAAATCGAATATTGCTTTCGTCGCATTCCGTTTCGGTACAGACAAGACAATCTATGCCAACTGAGACGATATTCCTTTGTAGCCCGTAAACTGCATTTAATGATATCAGTCATTTCCCGGGTAATATGAGCCTGAAAATGGTGAGGATATAGGAAACGGAAGGGGGAGGGTGGGGGGTTGTCTCTCATCAAGTTCCTTGCGTGTTGCGTTTCAGTATCGTTCATTTTGTTTCGGTTGCTTCGCATCTTTTACTTTCCAACTGAATTCACTGGAGAGTTATTGTTTCAATATTTTATTTGAGTTGTGTCTTGAAAAGTATTTGTGTAAAAATATAGAAACTAAAACTGTAAAATTATATAAACTTTCTACTCTTTTTCTTTATTTTCAATGCATTAATTAATCTATGCTGTGTTCTGCAATTGACCGAATCGAGTTCCGTACTTAAATTGGATTTTATTCTATGTTAATACGTTTTCCTCTAAGCACCGCGTATCCTTTTTCAAAAAAGCTTGGCGAAGTCGGCTTCGGATGGATCAGAATTCTACTCAGCAGAGGAGTGAATACTTGCCTGACCATTTGACGTGTTTTAGAGGAAGATTACATATGTTGAGGCAGTTTAGATGTGAGTAAGTTACCTACTAATTTATATCTACAAGAATGAATTTAAGGTAGCCTAAGCTTATTTTCTTTTTCGAACAAAAACGTGGGTTATTTAAAATAAGAAAGCCCATCTTGAATAATCTTGAAGATTATGAATGATATTTTCGACAATGAGTAATAAATTAATATAGCTTCAGCTTACAGGCCAGGCAGATCATTAACCATACATTTTCTTTGTTCGTAAAAGTCTAGAAACACTTGCCACATGGGGCGAAGCATCAGTAGGTTCTTGTCACCCAAATAAAAAAAGTGGTTAGTAAAATAATAAAGATAAAATTAAAACTGTGAACAGTGGACTGTACTTCGGACTTTCAGTGGGACTTGACTTATGGAGTCAGATCTTTTAAAATCAACGAGCTTCTTGGGCTACCAAACCTACTTGAATTTGCGCCATCAGAAACTGTGAGTTTGAGTCAATTTCAGTGCTTTTTAAAGAATAAATCCATTACAATTCTTTAAAACGGCGGGAAACTGATGTGAACGGCCAGAAAGAGCCGATGTCATTTTCCCATACCGTTTAATCTCACTAAGTGATTTTACCGGCCACGAAACTCTCGTCCATTTTAAGTTTATCTGCCTAGAGTTTACAAGGTATTATTTAATTATAATATATTTCTCTCATACCAATGATACAGAGCCCTCTCTGCGCTCCCGTCAGCCCGACGTTCATTAGATGCTCGTTGGTCAAGAATCCCAAATGTTCACGCAGCCAATAAATGGAGGGATCTCGTTCGAGATCATCCTTATTCAGCGAGCGCACCAGAGATAAGATCATGTAATCCCATTCACTTCCTGCATGACATGAAATGTGTTAAACATTAAGAGTGAATGTAAATTTGTCAAAGAGGCTCAAGTTTTTTGATAATATAATATAATGTATTTGATAATGTAGCGATGAAAAACCACAATCTAATGATTGAAATTGGTCGACGAGTTCAATATCCACAAATGTTAATTGATGATGTCGAACTAATTACTCCACTGAATTAACTGAAAATGAAATGCATGGGCTTTCTTTCTTTTGCATTTTTACTAACATTTTCGAGCCGACTTGGGCTACAATTGTAGCAATATTCAACTTTCATGAAAAAAAAATCGCAGAAAGGTTCTCAAGGTTATGATTGCCGTGCAGCCTAGAAAGAAAAGGAAAACAAAAAGATTTAGTACGAGAAAAAAAATTAGAAAGTATGTTTACCCTGGCCTTTTTATGATGGTTGTGACAAGGATTTATTTGGATTTAACATTTCCTTCCATAGCTTTGCTTATTTTTTCACGTTGTTCTCTATAAGGCGATAAGATAACGACATCTGACGGGGACACACCATTTTTGAAAACCAAGCTTCTAGCAACGTGGACCTGACGTGAGAAAAAGTATTAGTTTACCGAATTTATATAATTTCAGTTTGTTTAATTTACTAATTCACATAAAACAGTTGCCTTTGCAGAGACAGAAAAATAATTAGTTATTACTACAATTTCATGAGTTCAGGGGGCCAGTGATATCTCATTTGTCTAAAAACTAGACATTTACAAAAAGAATAGAAACGAAAATAGGAGGAGGGGGAGATAGCTTTCGGCCTTATGTTTACATGTGCACTGAGTAAGATCTGTATTGAGAAGCTCTATGCAGTGGTACCCAAGCCTTTTATGTTATGTTATTAGAGGCAACTTCTTTTTCGTTTTTGTTTTCTTTCGGAATGCAAGAATACAGACTAGAAAAAGAAATCAGCTAAAACCCTTCTGTGTTCTTCGACTAGTCTTTATTCCTCAAGTCAGTACGAGAGTATGAAAGTCTGATACAGCCAGCAGTGCTCGTCTTTAGACTTTAGGCATGTTGCGGGTGGGCTGTGATAAAGATAGGAAGAGTTGTTGAGGACGGTTTGAAGGTAGATTGCTAAATGTATGGGTTCATAATTGATGCTCTGTAAATTTAAAGCAAAAAATCTATGGTGAAAAAAACAAGAGGTAATTAAAGGTTTGATTATCATTTGTATTGAATTTCCAGCATTTGGGCTTGGGTAGAAGGCCTCTGGTTCTCTTATTTTTCTCTTTATTTTCCTTCCTATTATCCTCAAACTTATTTTCATACATCTCAAGTACATCAGCATATGGACATGGATATTTTCAAATTATGCGATGTAGTGAAATGTTCTTCAGTTTCTCAGGTACTCCGGTCCGATCGTCGGTAGACTGTTTAAGAGTGTGGTTTTGTTAGGGATTGAAAACTCTGCCTGTTCTTTCCGATCAGTGTACACGCGGATGATCTTTAGGCCAGGAACTTTAATCATGTACTCTTAATTGAACGAAAACGAGAAAAAAGTTAGTTTGTCCTTAAAATTGCTGATTTTTTATTTTCTATTGGAGTTTAATTGATTGGACCATCACACTACCGTTGCGTGATACACCTGTTATTGTGTTTTATTACCTCATATTTGACAGAACCATACTACGAAACGCGTGTTTAATATCATTAAGGACATATTCAGTAGTACTTTTTCACTCGAACTTTGTTATGAAGTAAATTCAAAGGGCTGAAAATATTTGTGATTTATCGTCTTCATTAAATTGACTTAAAATGACTGTAGCAAATCAAAAAGGTGAATTTTTCTTTTCAAGAAACTTACCAGTCACAACTTATACTGCTTTGTTGGTCGTCGATCTCATATTTGGTGTTTTGATGTGGGGTTTTTTTTTATGAACAGGCACTAGGAAGGATACAAATATATCTAAAGGTCCAGCAAATCTTTCGAAATTCCAACGGAGGAATCGCGATAAATGTTACTCGAAAGATTTCCATTTTCTTCGTCGCAAAACATTACGCAATGGAATAGAACTTCGCCAAGATCAATATTATAGCATGCGTAAACTTTGTCGCCTTTCGGCAATCTCTCCTTTCGGTCGACGTCTTTTTCAGGCGTAGAAGGCCCATGAATAATTAAGAATTGACAACAAATTCTCAGGTCTACTTAACAAACAAATGTATAATGGCTTTCAAATTTAAGGAATCAAACTACAACTGAGACACGATATTACATGCAGTCTCAAGCCTTGAAAACAAAATTTTGCACTTGACCGTTTGCGAATGAAGTATAAGTTTTTAAAGCTCGATAAAAGTAAAATTCACAATCGTCATTGTGTTACAATTCACCCTCGAGATCATAGCCATACCTTTACGTCTCGATAAAAGTTTGCTCTCGTGCTGGAAAACAAGGAATCAGGCGAGACAAAAGTGAGAGGTCAATAAAATGAAAATTAACGGTTGGGTTTGGATTGATAGTATGGGAAATAAATAAACGCCTTGCATACCCTTGATTTTATAGTTGGGCGTGAGTTTAGATAATGTAGATACAAGAAAATTCGTGCTTGAACGAGTTCCGAGCAACCGTTTCAAAGTCCTTTACCAGTATATTCCTCAACGAAAATATCACGGACTTCGTTGAACATGAAATATCTTTTGAAAACTCCGGAAGTTTAGTTCAGCAGAAGGGAAGGTCGACAGGAATCGCCCAAATTACTAAGTACTTAATCACAAGTTCTGTAGTACATAAGATATCTAGCCAAGCAGCCAATCTGTTCGTGATACCCATCAAAGAGCACGCGATGTCGAACAATAAACGATGTGTCGAGCTCTGCACATAACGTTTCAAAGTCAAAGTGTGTGTCTGTGTGCCGAGTTGAAAATCTGTGGTCGAATTCGCCTTGGATCAAGTGTGGTTGCTAACTCTCTTCGTCCTTATGGAGCGAGAAACAGCTTCTCAGAGAGGCATTGCTACGCCTTTCAAACAAGAAGCTGCAACGTTAGTTCGTGCTGAGGACTTTTGTTTTCGTTTTTAAGTCCTACCCCTATGGCCGAGCTAAAACGCGAGAAACCTACGAAGGAAATAGTTTCAAATTGCTAACCTGCTCCCTCGACACTTGTCGTAGGATAGTTACCAGCTGTCAAATTAATTAAAAGGAAGAGTTATATTCCGTTACGAGTTGCTTACCTGATTCCTAAGGGTCTCCAATAGGTTTTCCGAGAACCGGGAAGTCCGTTGACGAGAATTTATAAAGAAGTTGACCAACATTTAAGTCCAAAAAAGCCCACCCTTCCACGCAGCCGTTTACTAAGATATCGTGTTCCAATTTCCCCGCAAAACGCGAAAGTTACACGCGATCCCTATAGAAACGCCTGCGAAAGAGGCTGAAAGAAAGCCGCACAGATGTGTGTTGTGATAGTCTTATCTGCGCTGTCGTTTTCTTTTCAACTCACTGGTGATGTCTGAACATTCTGAGCCTTGCCCTATCCTGTAACAGTGACCTTTTGGTGACCGACCAATTTATCAATCGGGAAAAATAGCAGTACGTTCCTCTGTACGGATGTCAGCCACTATCGAAAGCGATGAATCGAATCAAGTCGACGTAATAAACATAACTAGTTGTGTGACTCTCTTTTACGAGAAGGGAAAGAGCGAAAGTGCTTTTCTGCGGAAAGAAAAATTTCGGGCTGAGCTGCCACGAAAGGTGGCCTCCTTAAAGGGTCTCATGGAAACGGCATAATTATAACATGATCATAAGTAAACTTTTCTATATTTCCCTTGTTATGGATCTAAGGGATTACCATCACCTTTTTGTTGCTGTATGCACTCGTTGACATTGTTATTTGTTTCTTTGATACTGACTTGTCTTTGCTAAAAAACATTTTCCAGTGATCGAAGTTAAACGGAAGGAAGTCGTTATCGTAACTAACGTACGTTATTCGTGCCAAAAATTTGAAAACTTCTTAAATAAACGATGTCATCGTTTCGGTGCAAAGAGATGAACTTACGCCTTATGGTGAGAAAAATCTTCAAAGTATCAATGCTAGTTGACAAAATCATCACCCACTGAAATGCCCCATTTAAGTTGAGATAATAGACTAAGAAAAATTTTATGATCAGGACTGGCTGGTATAAACCGTCGGGATTACTGGATTGTGAGAAAATTTTAGTCGGGACCGCGGGATTGAAAAACTCCTCTCTTTCTTGAGTAAAAATTGTTAAGAAAACGGGCATATCTCCATGAATATGCACAGTGAATGACAAAACCGAGGCTCATTATTCATCATCGTTATTGTTTAGGAGTAACTCGCGATTAGGTGACCTCTAGTCTGCATCGGTGAGGGAGTAGAATAAAATAATTTTTGTTTTATTAACTGAGTAGATAATGCTTTAGCCCTTCGTTAGAACGAATGATGACACAATAAGGCGAGAAGGAACGCATTAGATTGGAGAGCAAAACTCGTATTACATATCCATCGTGAGCGTTATGATTTCCCTTAGTGATTTTAAAAAGACTTCTGCTCCCAGATTAAATACAAAACATTTTTGATTGAGAAAAATAATTGTCAATCTTAATTTTTAATCCAGCTCTGCTCCTCTGATTTGAAGTAATTAAGCGAATTGCTACTTGCATGCATTAGACGCCAAATTGTCGAAGCGATGAATATAGGATAACAGTATCCTGCTCAAGTTAGTTTTAAACGTCTTTTAAAAAAACAATCTTAATTTTTTGAATAATATTCAAAAAAGCTATAGAATTTGACTTCAAAGAGAAATTGGAATATTCCCTCACTCTCGTCACACTAAGTTTCTGAAATCCTTTCCATTCCTTTCCTTCTAGTCATGTCCTACAAAACCACCACTCCCTGGAAGATAATACAAAAAACTCTAATCTTGAAAAAGTTCTCTAAAAATTCTCCCCTGACTTTAGTATATTTCAGTCTTGTTGATTAAACAAATATTTACTTCTGTGACT